GCATTCTCAGAAGGAGGCAGAGAAAGAGGAAGGAGGGACAGAGCCTCTTACAAGAACCATATGCACATCTGCCCCACACCATCCCACAGAATTCACCGTGCATCCTGGCTCCTGTTAGACAGCATCAGCAGCAGGTGAGATAGTAGATGGACTGCTAGAAGTGATGCTGGATGCTGAGATCCCATTGAGCAGGGACCGGCACGCGGCCCAGGAGCACCCAGCAGCCCACCGCATTATGCTGGCAGCTGCTGCCTCTGGCTCCACACCCCCTGCATACACAAAGAGGGAAAATGGGATGGGTAATTTAATCTTATCCCACTAGAAGCACAGCAACAAGCAAGCCTGCTCATCCTTTGCTCAATGTTTAGCCCAAGAGTGTATTAAAAACCTGAGCTGGATGATCACCAGCCCTGCTTAGCTAAATTGCAAAATAAGGGAAATTCTCCACCATCAACCAGGACAGATCCAGCCTCTTCCCAATCCCCCTCCACTGTAAATTCACAGATAGTGACGGATAAAGCAGTCACAGTTCACTTATAAATAGTTTATAAAAGGTTGGTAAACTGTTTCTGGATGCTTTAATGAGTAATTAATCAATTGCTGTGGGCCCAATAGGTCACAGATTGCTTACAGCCATCAATCACTGCTGATGAGCTCATCAGCATCACAAGTCCAGCAATGTGTCTTAACACATCTACAGAGAGTTAATAAATAATGAATAAACTATGCAAGTTCCCTCAATTGAGAGCTGTAGGAGGCCACCAAAGATGGCATTCGTGGGAAGGTGAAGGAAGCACCACAAGCCAACATCTGCAAGGAACACAGAAGTGAGCAGGGAGCACGCGCAGGAGCTGCAGTGCAGCAGCACAAGGCAGTGAGGACACGGTGCTTGGCCTCCTCATGGCAGCGCTTTATTATCGTTAACGGGGAATAATTCTGGATTATAAAAGCAATTAAGTGTAAAAATAGGTAATGAGCCATTGCCTGTTGTATCCAAAAGTTATGAAAACCCCTCATAAAATGATCACCCTAGCATACAGTCGGACCTCAATAATTTTAAAACGTAAGATGGAGAACCTTGCTGACAGCTGTAGTGTTCGTAAGACATTCAGATTCATCACTGCAGGCTCTCTTGTTATTTTCAGGTCTCTATGAGCACAGAGGCAACCACAGTAGACTCTGATGTTTTGCACTGAAGACAAATGACAAGAGAACTCGAACAGAACCTGCTTGTGGCTCACCTAAGCGCCTGGGGCCAAGACAGATTGTTCACAAGTGGCTTCACCATGTTGGCAATATTTTGAACAGCAATCCAAAACAAAGCTTTGCTTGCTGGCTTCTAAGCCTCGAAGATGAGCTTGGCTCATGGTTAAAACCTTGTTCTGCAGCCACGAGCGCGAGACACTTCCCACCAGCTTCCAGTGCCAGCCAAAATCCTCAGTGAAGCAACTAGCTCTATGCTACTTTTCCCAGAGTGCTTGAGTAAACCTGAGCACATCCTGAATCCCTCAGGGCATTCCATAGAAAGCTCTGGTTCTCCCCAAGCACTCACAGTGGGTACAAGAGCACGTGTGCATTGCCAGAACCCCTACATCCCAAGGCTCTGCTCCCTACCGAGGTGGGTCAGTGCCTGCCCAGCACCCCGGTGCTGATCTCAGCTCTGCTGGCAGCCCATCTTAGGACCACTCTTTGGCATCCACCAGCTGCTGCTGCCCAAGGAAATAACCTCAATTATAATGGTATTATTAATATTAATGCGTTAATATTGCAGGGCATGACGGTACCCATGCAAGGAAGAGAAGGATTGCTGGCATGCAGAGCGCTGGCTGAGAGGGCAAGTGAGACAAAAAAAAAAAAAATCATAAAAAGAGTGTGTATACAAATATCTAGTTTTGTATATATATATATAAATATAAATACATACGCAGTTATGCTAAGCCAGGGAGGCACAAAGTGGATCGGCTACAGTCCTGACATCCTAAAATTAGGTTTTATGTAAAATAAGCACTCGTTTCATGTAGGGTGGTTGGTATTAAGATTTATTTTCATCCTGACTTGTATTACTGCCTGATATGATTGGGCACAGCCCAGGGCACATGAATACGGTTGCCATTCATAACATATACACAGATTCATGACCTAGCTAGCAAGCTGAATTGCCTCACAACCTTTTTTCCGCTGCAGAAAGCTTAATAAGCATGTGAGTCCCAGAGCAGGAGAGACTCGATGTATTTGCTGTGCACGAAGAGCTCTTGAATGGAGTTGTAAGAGCCAGGAGCAGCTCTCACTGAGTGTCTCCAACCCTCAGAGAGAGTTCAGCTCCAATAGAAGATGGGAGAGAAACAGATGGCTCCAGAGGAGGAAAGATATCACGGGGCTCTGCCAGTCCCTGTCCCCACATCACCCCACATGTTTTCACTGAACCACGCGTGGCATTTCTCCACAGCTTTCTGCATCGACCTTCACAGCTGCCATGGTGATGAGCACCACGGAGAAGCCTATAAATATCATGGATGTGCCACACGCTGGCCCTTTTATGGGCTCTACTCTTTTCCATTTACTTATATGCAAGACATTTTACAGGACAAGTCAATTAAGCCTGACAGCTGGTTGACAGAGAATTCCACCCAGCGACGGCTCACAGACACTTTGCATTAAGCACAGTGACATGATGCAGTAGACCACTACAAGCCACTGGTGGCAGATTGCACTTGGCCAATTCAAAAGCTTTCATCTGACATTTCACCTGATTTCCAGTAGCACCCCACTATCGCCCAGTGCTTCCACCATCCCAGTGTAACTCCCAGCAAGGCAGTGCACACCCCAGAGGAAAGAAACTCCATCCCCAGAGATGCCCAAGGTCAGGTTGGATGGAGCCCTAATCTAGTGGGTGGCAACTAGCATGGGTTGGGTGAGCTTTAAGGTCCCTTCCAGCCTCAGCCATTCTGCAATTCTAAGGGCATAAGGAACAATGCAACCCCCTTCCTCATAAGCAAACAATTCTTGCTCTCCAGCTTCTGGCTGTACGGTCTGGCTTGCAGGCCCAGTACCTCCTTTCTGATCTTTGATCTTGAATGATCTAACAGTACTGAGGAAGGCAGGTGCCACATAAAATCACATTCATTCACTTGAAAACCTCAGTTTCCCACAATTTTTCAAACTGAGGTAGTTTTGATCAGCTCCAGTTTGATGTTGAGCTGATATCTGAACCTGGTCTAGAAGGGTAATGAACATCAATGAGTCCCCATAGCGTCACCTATGCCACCAGAGCTCAATGCCTGTTTGACCTCAGGGTTGTAAGCCCAGAGTAATAGTGACAGCTCTTCCCTTTCTTTCATCATTTTCTACTTTGATGGCTGCTGCATTTCCCTTTGCTATTTCTTTTCCCTGAATAGCTTTATTTTGCCTATACCAAAGGAAGCGGCTGCCTCATTGCTTCGCATAGCTCTTCTGCAACTACAGATCCTGCACCAGCTCTGAGCAGGAAGATGAGCTCAGAGTAACGCTGCTCTCTCCCCATGACTTTGAGGCACAGCCTGCGTGGGGCTTTGGGTGTCACCAGCACAGCCCCTTGCACAGGGGATGGGGGCTCACCACCCTGCGCAGCACGTCTCATGGGTGCCCCACACAGAAGAATTCCAGCAAGACCCATCTGGGAGCTGGATATTTTGCAAAGGGATTAAAACAAAGCTTTAAAACAAAGCTTTAAAACAAACCAGGAGCCAGAGAGCCTGCAAGTAAATGAATTGCATGGAAGCTGCCCAGGAAAAGGCTCTAGAGTAGCAATAAAAATCTTTGTTAGCACAAATGGGTATGGTGGCAGCAGGCTGGTAAGCCCAGGAGCAGGCATGCAGCCTCACAGTGCACAAAGGGGGAAACAGCAGGCAGATGAGATCTTGCTCACAGAGGGAGAGGCAGCAGGAGCCTAAATCCAGCTCTGAAGGAGAATCAAAGTGCTGCGGCCCACAGCAGGGATCAGCTGCTTGGATGGAGGATTCACCTAGCCTCGGTGTAAGAGGGGGCTCCCACACCACCAGCAGTTCAGCAGGGGTGCTTTTAATGTACACAGGTCCAGAGAGTGTACCCAGCTGTCCACTTTAAAAATGCAAGAACTCACAATCTTTAATAATAAAGTTGCTATCAGTCTACACTTGAAGCTCACAATGCTAATGAAGGGCAAGGGCTGGAGGGGGGTGTAGAAAAGCTCACACAAACCTGCTGCTGCTGCAGAAATTAACCTGCAGGAAAGCAGGACATCAGCCCAGAGCAGGGCAGGCCGCAGGCTGAGCTGCCTGCTAATTGCCACAGGCTCTAGGAGCCTCCTGCCTGGTTTTCTGCACCAGCACTGTGCATGAAGGTGGGCTCAGTGCAACACTGCTCTCTCCCCACAAATTCAAGGCACGGTCTGCAATGGGCTGTGAGAGCCACTACCAAAGCCCTTTACAAAGTGCCTCAGTCTCATCTCCTGTTTGCAGACAGATTTTTATATTCTATACTTATTTCCTGAGGGCCTTCATTTGGGCTCATCATCCCCAAAGGGATCAATAGGACTGCAGCTGCCGCCCCAGTATCTGCAGCCAACTCACCGAGTGGCAGCGGGGCCGTGGGACGGAGCTGGGACTGGCAGCCAGGACTGCAGGCAGGCAGGAATGTGGGCAGGCAGCCCAGCTCCTGCGGGAGCCAAGAGATCACTGGGGCCACCTTCAGAGTCAGCACAATGCCTTTGGAGCCACCTCGACCCACCCCAGTGCCCAGAGCCAGGCCTGACCCTCAAACACATCTCACCTTAACCTGCTCCCCAAGCACCAACAGAGCCCCGGGGGAGAACAAGCACTGCACTCTGCCAGGGACATCTCATACAGTGATGGATTCTGCATCTTCTTATTAACCTCTCCGAAAAGCTCGGTGCTATCTTCCATGGAAGCAATATTAGGTTAAGCAGCTGTTGATAACTTATCTCCCATTATCAGCAATTTCATTCAAGGCCAATATTTACTCACATACTGGAGGCATTGCTGTATTCCCAGTAGCGTTCTTTATGGAGTCAGATGAGAGCAGCTTTTAGCATACCCTCAGTGCTTCAGAGGCCCACATTACCCAGGCACATTCCTATGCTATGCGTGAAAAGCCCTGCCTGCACTGCTGGTATAGGGCAGCCCCAGACATCAGAGGGGTCTGTTCCACGCACAAAGAGAATTCAAGGAAATCACCACAGGAAAGCAAGCTAAGAGTGAGCATCAAGCCCTGCACCAACTGATAGCAATCAGGTAATCAGCTATTTAAAACAGCTGTGACTCATTCATTAGTGCATTTGGAAGTGCTAACAGGCATGCCCTTAAAATCAAGTAGGGCAGCTAACTGCCTTTCCATGCTCCTTTTTCTTTTTTTTTCTCCTTTTGGCCTGTCTGTCAAGCACCACCTGCATGCCTCATAATTTTTCTTCTGTGTCTCAGAGTGGACGAATGCTGGTTTTATCTCTAACCGTGCAGTTATTCTCCCTGATTTTCAATAGCAAACCAACGATGGGATCACCAGCACGCTCCTCACGTGCCATCAAGCCATGCAAGCCACACTGTACTTGCATTTATACATAGATTGGTGGCCTGCACTTGGCTTCAGCCATCAGCCCAGCACCCTGTGGAGCCCTGTGACTACGCTCCATCCCTGTGCTGGCTGGGCAGAACCTCATCACCAGCATGGGATGAGCCTTGGTGCGCTCCTGCTGTGGCCAGCAGCACATCATTAGCTTCCTTTGAGGTGTTTTGCCAAGGAGCCCCACCTCTTCTTTATGCCTTTTTCTGCTATCATGACAGTGCTGCAGAGCCTTAGGCACAGACCAAGACCCCACTGTGCTGCATGTGGTGGAAGCAAAGATCAGAGAGAATTTGCATCCTAAGAAATGAGATCCCTGCAGCCTCGTTTCTCCCCGCACCATTTGCCAGGCGTGGAAGTCCTGCAGCTCGAGCACAGCACGGAGACCAGAAGCACAGTGTCTGGCTCTCAATATCCCCCAGCACAGTGGCACAGGCTGCCCTGACCCCAGCCCTGCCTGCAGGTGGGAGCAGGGCCAGCACAACCCTTCCAGCACTATGCACTGCGATGACAAATGGCACCTCGGTGGCCCCCGTGCTGCTGTATTGTGCCGCTGCAGCTTTGGAGTCGTTGAACTGAACCCTGATCTGTAAGCAAGTGACAGCCCCAGGAACAGCCAAGGGCTGCCGAGAGACCACAGTTAATGCTCAGTCTGTGCCACAAGCAGTGGGGACATTGCAAGCACGTCCCCTGACTCAGTGCCCAGCTGTGGTGAGCTTACAGCCCTCAGCATTGTCACATCCATCACCAGGAATCTCCCAGTTCCCTGGAAATACAGCGACAAGCTCTCTGGGGCTGGTTTCAGCAGTTTTATTCCTAGGTAATAGCCCTCTCCCTCCTTTATAGCTTTGTCTAGACACACGGTGAGCAAATGCTATAACCACCCATTGGAAGAGCCCTGCTACCCCCCCGTTCCTGCATTTCGCATCCGTGCGCTGAGCACATGGGGCACTCGGTACCAGAGAGCTGGGTGTGCCCCATCCCTGGAGGTGCTGGAAGGGCCCTGGGCACTCAGATGTGGTGGGGGGCTGCCAGCCCACAGCAGGGGTTGGAGCTCAGACCCTTCCAACCCAACCATTCTGCAACTCTACAACTCTAAGACTTGCAGGGCTGCAGCCCCGGTACGTGGATGTGCTCATGGTGGCCCAGCTGCCAGGAGGGGTGGTGATTCCATCCCCTGATGCAGCTTGTTGTCGATTGTTTTGCAGTTCCTGTGTGTATTCATGCGCTGCACAGCACTCAGCGTGCTTTGAGATGAAAGGTGCTTTCACCAGCACTTGTTTCCTATTATAGGCCTGGGTTTGACACTCCCCCACCCTCTCATCTAACTTTCCATACAAAGCACTTCTCACTTTTTCATCTTTCTTCTGTGGGCCCTTGCCAGGAGGAAAAATAAAAAGGAAGAAAACATATTTATTTCCTTTTGGAAAGCCTGAGATTAATCAGACTCAGTATGGGGGAGGCTCTAACAGAGGTGATTCTTTAACAAAGAAGCATGCACCCACTCTGCATTCTCCACTACTTAAAAATGGCTGGTGCCTGAGGAAAGACAGCCTTTGGTTTGTGCTGTTAACGAGCCCAGTGGATGTTTTAATTAAGTTGGATGGGAATTTTCAGAGTTATTTGATATGAAGATGTGAGCCTCTAAGAGCCGCCTTTGATGCTTGAGTTGTGTGATAAACACTGGGTGAGTCCTGCAGGGCTGTAGTCCTTCAGCACTGCCAACAGCTGCTGTTGGAGCACACCAAGCCCCACTCCATGCCTCCAATGCTAGGAGGGGTCCAAGGGGACGAGCACACCTGGCTGGGGCGATGCTGCCCTCCGCATGCCCTGGATACGGGCATCCCACTCCAAGTGCTGGAGTGCACCTGTCAGGAGTGCCCCAGTGCTGTGGGACGGCTCGGCTGCGCCCTGCAGCTCCAGGAGACAGGTAGGGAAAACCAACTGTGGGAAATGCAAATGCCTTCCGCCGGGATGCTGCAGGGAGAGATGAAAGCCAACTCCATTTGCATTAGTTCCATAACTCTGGATGTTTTCCCTTTCCCGTTTAGACTGGAATTCACATACACACACACACACACTTCTGCCACAGAGCTACCCGGCTGCCAGCTGCTCCTCCCGGGAGTTCTGCAGAAATCCCCACTCCCAACACAGAGCTCAGCGAGCCCACGGCCGTGCCGTGTTCCATCCACAGCCCCTGTGCAGCTTTGCAGGGGGTTGGCAAAGAGCAAAGCAGCGACGCCGTGGCCCACAGGCACAGGGGCTGCGCTTTGCGTGGCACGCAGCGAAACGTCGGCAGCAATCAGTCAGCTTGTTAAGGCAGAGAAACAGCGAGAGGAAAACATTCGCTCCCTGGGTCTGCGTGGGAAATGATGCAGCAGTGCTCCCCCAGGTGGGTGCGGGCTGCACGGTGCTCTCCTGGGGACACCTCATCTCTGCCAAAGCTGCGTCTTCCTGGGTCCCCTCTGTGCTTCTCCATCAACAGAAAGTGCCACAGCCACAGGAGGGCACAGACTGTTATATACATGCAGCCTTCAGAGCTACAGAGGTAAGCGGGATGGGGCTTGGGCTCCTAGCCCTGCTGCTGTCTCAGCCAGAAGTGATTTTCTGCAAAACCTGGCTCAAGCAGACAGCCTTCATTCCGACAGCAAACACTTTGCATTGGAAAGCACGGAAATACGTTCAGCCCATTCTACTATTGGTTGCAGCAAAACCTGTAGAGAGCCCTCAATTCCCGCTTATTCCATTCTCCATCAGCAACAGCCAGAAGAGAATTTCTGGGGGAGGTTTTTGCACGCAGCAATGAGCATCTTGCATTCCTGCGGATAACACCAGGCACCCTCCACACCCACTGGGTACCCAGAGGACAGAGAACATGCCACCTGCAGGGGTGGTTGTGGGGAGGAGGGCACAGCATCCTCCCACCACCACACACACAGTGCTGAGCTGTGCAGCACAGGGGCTCAGACAGACACAGAGGGGCTGGCACTGGCAGTGGGGATGACGGTGGGCTCAGAAGCATCCAACAGCTCCCAAGGATACCTCAGGGTCCTCCTCATACAACGCCAAAGGTGCTGCCAGGATTTTGCACTGCCTGGCTGTGGACGCTATGGAGAACATAGAAATTTTAGCTCCTCTTGAATATGTTCCTCCCCCTTCTCCCATGATCTGAAGGGGTTCTGGCTCCTCTCTGCCCATACAACACTGCACACAGCTAAAGAGGCATACCCACTGCGGGACACACAAGCCCTGGTGCCATCTGCCCTATGACAAGTGTGGCAGTGGCACATCCAGAACGAGGACGCTGGATCCCAATCTCCTTCAGACAAGCAGCAGTCAATGGGATCCCCAAGTGATGTGCCAGGCTCAGCACAACCCCCACACGGCTCCAGAAGATCTGTGGACCCACGTTCTGTGCCCACACAAAGTCACGGCTCAGCTGCACAGCCCGGCTGCTCGATGGAGGGTGACAGCCTGCTGCCAAGGAGGGATCAGGGGGGGCTGCACACAGGGATCCAGCAGTGCCTGAGTGAATGTACCCGGGAGAAGAAGAGATGCACAGCCCAGGCACCAGCTCCTGGGGGTGGGCTTGGGCAGAGGAAGGCAGCAACAAACAACCCCTCAGGGAAGCACTGAACCCAAGGCTGTGCCGCTCTCCCATCCTCGCTTTCTGCGGCCATAGAGGAAAGGATTCCCAACAGAGGGACCTGGAGCATCCTTCCCATCCAGGACAGCATCCCTCCCTGTCCCAACCGCTAAAAGAGCTGGAAGGAGCCCGAATTCTCCGGAGAGGGTAGGGATGGAGCATGGCACATCCCCCGGCCGGGGCCTATCGGAAAGCATTCGCTCCGTGGGGCGAAACGCCCCGAGCAGCCCCGAGCATGCCCTCGGGGGCACCGCGCTCTCGCAGCGCCCTGGGCTGAAGGCAGCTCCACGGACCTAAGTTTGCTCCAGAAGCACCGGAGGCTTCTCCCTGTTCCTGGTACTCAGCCTGCTTCATCCAAGCCCACGCCTGGAGGCGAGGGGAGGGCTGCGGGGGACAACGGGGGAAGACCCATCGTCGCAGCACCCAGTGTCGGCGGGGATGCCCGGAGCCGCGCCGAACCGCGGAGCTACCCGTTGCGGTGCCTTACCTGCGGGCAGCCTGCGGTCCGCGCAAATCCGGCTGCGGCTCAGGGCGGGCGGGCGGCTGCCCCCACTCCTCCAGGGGGCCGCGGAGCCCCGCCGGCCGCCCGCCGCTCAGCCCCGCCGCCGCCCGGGGGCTGCGGGCCGCCCCGCCGCCGCTCGCCGCCCCTCCGCCGGCCCCGCACCGCGCTCCGCCGTCCGCGGGAGGCGCGCAGGGGGCGGGCGGCGGGGCGGAGCGGCGCGGCTGGTGGGTGGGGGGCCGGTCCCACCGCCCCCCTGCGATAGGCAGATGCCCTTCCTCCTCCCGTCCCCTCTCCCCGAGAACGAGCTCATCCCGCAGGACCCCCCCCGCCGCTGTCGCTGCGGGCTCGGGCTGCTCCCGTCTCCGTCGCGGGGACCGCTGCGGCCAACCCGCGGGGCTCTGCGCCCCAGGGGTGACTCAGCTGCTGCGGCAGAAAATGGGGAGGGGGCATTCGGTGCCCCTCACGGCAGAGCTCCTGCTCCACCCCCACGGGGAGTGCAGGCAGCAAGTGCCCTGCTTCTCCAGCCTGACTCCCTCCTGCCCCGCTCTGCCCCCCAGCCTGGCACTGCCAAGGAGCTCTGACCCCACCGAGGACACCACGTCCTGGTTGGGCTTTGTAGGTGGGCGATGGGGTGATGCCAGGAACAATCTCCGCACCGCTGTCGCTCACTGGCACCACGCTGAGCCCCTTAGACTGCTTAGAAGCGCTCTGCTTCTTCTGTCCACGGAAGGCACTTGGGCACGGCGGGGCAGCCGTGTCTCCAGCGGGGTGGCTGCATCCCCCAGCAGTCCCCACTGTTCATCCTTAGCACCATAGCAATGTGCAGCCCAAGCACAGCAATGCGCTGAGCAGCAGAGATGCCCCCACCCCAGCAGTGATACCCACGGACATTTGGCGTTGCACCTCTCCTTTTCCCGAACTTCTGATCACTTTGCGAGACAGCTTGCTTGCTTTGTGGAATTCCCAGGGAGTGTTTTGGTCTCCGAGTGTGAAGACAACATTCTCAGCTGTGTTTGCAGTTGCTTTATGAAATAACAAATCTTCGGCACAGTGCCTTTGGTTCCTGCCAGAAGGACTGAGCTGGCACCGCCCGGGGTCTGTGCAGGGCTGGGAAGGGCTGGTGCTGGATGCCAGCACTGCCACAAAGGACAGCCCTGCAGGTTTAGATGAAGCCGTGCAAGGAGGAAGCCCTTCCCAAGCAAAGGGGTGAAACCAGATTAAGGCAGTATGAGAATGCTGGTTTAAGCCACTAACTGGATCAAACTGCAAGCGATGCCTTTCCCCTGCGCCTATCCCTCCATCGCCGCGGGAGAAGGAGCTTTGCCTGGCACAGCCAGCAGCCACCCTCCCACATCCAGACCTGCCTTATCTACGCAGCCAGCCTCAGCCTTCATATGAGTGCTCCAGTAGACTGTGGGGAGGGAGCTGCAGCCACGTGAGGCATGGCAGGAGGGCCTTGCTGTGAGCCCAGCCATGCATCGTGGCACCGACCCCGTGCACGCCGCAGGCTGCTGACCCTGTTGTTCCTGCCCCAGCCCCTGAGTCCAGCTGCCTTAGCCATATTCGGTGGGATACCACTGCAAAGTATCGCTGGGTGTGGAGAGTCTAACAGCAAAGGAAAGCACTGGGTCATCTGAGCCGGTTTAAATCTTAAACAAGGTTTAAGGATTTCAAGGGTTCCTGTTTAGAAAAAAACACGTTCGTTCATTGTCTGTGTCATAAATCTGCCCATTTATCCTGCTGGAGCTGGATGAATAATTGAAGAGAGGTTTGCGGCTAATTGATTTGCTGATCAGCGGAAAGAAATCATGAATAATTTATCTGACGAATATTACCCAACCATCCATAAAGCTGGTCAGTTACTGAAAATAATTAGTTGCAAACACTTCATTTCTCAGCCAGTGGCTCCGTGCATTTCCAAACACCCATCGCACTGTGCAGTCCCCAGCAGGAGCAGAATGATGATGGTGCTGCCCTCCAGAGCAGCCCAAGCACTGTCTCCCTGCAGCTTCCCATGCAGGCTTCACAGTAGGATTCAAACATCCTCAATCGGGATGAAAGCTTCATTTTGCTCCCAGAGTGTTGAGAAGTGGAAGTGCTAAGCCCCAACCCCACCGCAGCGCTTACGTTCCCATCTCAAGGTGACTCCAAAGAGTATTCATTCAAAG